AGTGCAGTTTTTAGTCCCGAGAATGTGTCTGAAAATTAACAAGTTTGCATTTAAACAATGCAACTTTGTATAGCGACAAAAAAGCACCATATGGAGTATGGTTATTAAAGCTACTTACAGTTATACTCAATACGACCCAAAACAGATGTGAATCGTTTTCAAGACAGTCCGCTTCCAAATTTCATATAAAAATACTCCTGACTAAACTTGTTTTAACAAACTTTAAATTGATGTCAACGGTTTTAAATTCAATAAGTGACCGTTAGTTGATCAGAATGAGAAGGGAATAAAAGAGGTAACATTTTAATTATTTCATCAAAACGCATCATATTGTGATTAGAAAATTCAGCCAGTATCTATAATAAATCAATATTCTGGAGTAAAAGATTGCCAAAGTGGAAGTGAGCCATGCATTTAGGTATGAAACGTCTAGGGAGAGAAACGTCTAGAGTATAAAACATATCTTGGATTGAAATATCTGATATTAATTTTCACATGCCAATTTTTTTACTATTTGTGTCTACAGAAGGTACTGAAAGAGTGAATTTTAATAATATAGCTCTTACCTTCCTTCAATGCTTCAAAAAGATGAACATATAGTTTAAAGATATAACTTTTAAGTAAAGTGAAGCCAATTAATTTTATAATGGATCGAACCATTGATGGTACGAACACTTATAAATTCGACAATACTGATATCACTCTTCATATAATTAGATCTAAGAAACTAATACATTTTTTACCATATACAGAATTATACACGTCGAAAATTTATACACTTTATGTACAGAAAGAGCAAATTGCCAAAAAATGACCAACCCACGCGGAAATCTGCTGGACATGTTCCTTGGGTTAGGGCTTTGAAACTTACAACATGTAAAGTAGACCCTCAATAGTTGTACAAAATCAAATTTGCAACGGAATTGATCAAATGGTTTTTGAACGGTAGGCTCATAAAAATGATGTTTTTTTTTCCGAAATTTATATAGAGAAAGAACAAATCGCGTTGCCAAAAAATGACCAAGCCACGCGGAAATCTTCTGGACATATTCCTTGGCATAGGGCTTCAAACCTTAAAACATGTAAAGAAGACCCTCCATAGTTGTAAACAATTAAGTTTGCAACGGAATTGATCAAATGGTTTTTGAACGGTAGGCTCGTAAAAATGATGTTTTTCCCATAATTTACATAGAGAAAGAACGTATTGCCAATGCAAAAAATGACCAAGCCATGCGAAAATCTGCTGGACATGTGCCTTGGGTTAGGGCTTTAAAACTTAAAACATGTAATGTAGACCCTCCATTTTTGTACAAAATTAAATTTGCAACGGAATTGATGAAATGGTTTTTGAACGGTAGGCTCGTGAAAATGATGTTTTTTCCGAAATTTATATAGAGAAAGAACAAGTCGCGGTGCCAAATAATGACCAAGGCACGCGGAAATCTCCTGGATATATTACTTGCGTTAGGGCTTTAGGCCTTTTTATTTGTAAAGAAGATCCTCTAAAGTTGTACAAAATCAAATTTACAACGGAATTGATCAAATGCTTTTTGAACGGTTGGCTCGTAAAAATGATGTTTTCCCATAATTTACATAGAGAAAGAACAAATTACCGGTTCAAAAAATGACCAAGCCATGCGGAAATCTCCTGGACATGTGCCTTGGGTAGGGCTTTAAAACTTAAAACATGTAACGTAGACCCTCCATTGTTGTACAAAATTAAATTTGCAACGGAATTGATCAAATGGTTTTTTATCGGTAGGCTCGTGAAAATGATGTATTTCCCATAATTTACATAGAGAAAGAACAAATTGCCGGTGCAAAATGACCAAGCCATGCGGATATCTCCTGGTCCAGGACATGTTCCTTGGGTTAGGGCTTTAAAACTGAAAACATGTAAAGAAGACCCTCCGTAGTTGTACAAAATTAAGTTTGCAACGGAATTGGTCCAATGATTTTTGAACGGTAGGCTCGTGAAAATGATGTTTTTTCCGAAATTTATATAGAAAAAGAACAAATCGCGTTGCCAAAAAGTGACCAAGCCAGGCGGAAATCTCCTGGACATATCACTTGGGTTAGGGCTTTAGGCCTTTTTATGTACAAAGAAGACTCTCTAAAGCTGTACAAAATCGAATATGCATTGGAATTGGTCAAATGGTTTTTGAACGGTAGGCTCGTGAAAATGATGTTTTTTTCCGAAATTTATATAGAGAAAGAACAAATCGCAGTGCAAAAAATGACCAAGCCATGCGGAAATCTCCTGGACATATTACTTGGGTTAGGGCTTTAAAACTTAAAACATGTAAAGAAGACCCTCCATAGTTGTACAAAATCAAAATTGCAACGGAATTGATCAAATGGTTTCTTATCGGTAGGCTCGTGAAAATGATGTTTTTCCCATAATTTACATAGAGAAAGAACAAAGTGGCGGTGCAAAAATGACCAAGTTAGCGGATATCTCCTGGTCCAGGACATGTTCCTTGGGTTAGGGCTTTAAAACTGAAAACATGTAAAGAAGGCCCTCCGTAGTTGTACAAAATTAAGTTTGCAACGGAATTGGTCAAATGGTTTTTGAACGGTAAGCTCGTGAAAATGATGTTTTTACCGAAATTTATATAGAAAAAGAACAAATCGCGTTGCCAAAAAATGACCAAGCCAGGCGGAAATCTCCTGGACATATCACTTTGGTTAGGGCTTTAGGCCTTTTTATGTATAAGGAAGACCCTCTCAAGTTGTACAAAATCGAATATGCATTGGAATTGGTCTAATGGTTTTTGACGGTAGGCATGTGAAAATGATGATTTTTCCGAAATTTATATAGAGAAAGAACAAATCGCGGTGCAAATAAATGACCAAGCCACGCGGAAATCTCCTGGACATATCACTTGGGTTAGGGCTTTAGGCAGACAGAAGACCCTCCAAAGTTGTTCAAAATCAAATTTGCAACGATATTGGTCGGATGGTTTTTCAACAGTTGACACGAGAAAATGATGCGTTTTTTTACGAAATTTCTTAAGACTTTATATTAATATAAAGAACAGGTCCGAATAGCGATTATTTAACGTTGAGTAGTTGCTCTTGTTTTCCTTGAGTTAAATCTCTGTGTCTTTAAGTCTTATATAGCAGTGAAGAAGATCCTTTTAGCTTATACCATCTACTAGACTTTTTTTTAAGTACGTACCGTTATTTTGTAATGGCTAACTGTACATGAGATAAATTCCTGCAAAATCAAGCTCTCTCATGCGCGTTTTTGTCACACACACACCAGAACTGATTTACATTTATATTAAGTTGGAAGACCACTGTATGAACGGTTGGCTCTAAATAATGATTTTTTTCTAGAAAATTTGTTCACTTTATATACAGAATAAGCAAATCGCCTAAAAATGACCGAGTCATGCGGAAATCTCCTGGACATGTTCTTTGAATTAGGATTTTGAAACTTAAAACGTGTAAATTATACCCCCATAGTTGTACAAAATTATATTTGCAACGGAATTGATTAAATGTTGTTTTTTTTTTCTTTTTAAGAAAATTTTGTTATGAAATATGAAACTTAGCTGTGTTTCAATGTCTATGCTGTTTTATGATGTAAATCTTAGAGATAAGCATTTTAAGAAAAAAACAAATCACTTAGTTGAGTAATTATATGTATAATTTGAAATTGACCAAGTCACTTTTAACTACAAACTTCTTATTTTTATTTGCAGAAGCAGTAAGAGAGAGCCAAAGAAGTACTCAAACACAATCATGAAACACTTGACCTACCCAGAAAGATCTAGAAGAAAAGATTGGAAAAGATTGTAGCTTAATTGTTAAACTATTAAAAAGAATTTAAGCTGCACTTGAACTGTATTTTTGAAATATAATATCTGAAGTATTTAATATTGTCTTGATATTTTGTTAAACTTGGTTACTTTGCTTTATATCCAAAAATTAAAGTATTGTGGGTTTTCAACGTTGAAATGACATTGAAACTTCAACGTTGTGCCAACGTTGAAGCTGCAACGTTGTATCAACATTGAAATTTCAACATTGTTTAAACTTTCAAATCCGAATATAAACCCAACGTTGTTTCAACGTTGAAATCTGACCATAATTCAACGTTGAAACAACTTTGATGTGCCTGCTGGGTTTATTGAACCGGGCTTGAAGACGTTTCAAGTTTGCCCTGTTGTAAGTTCTTAAATGCTTTCATTCAATTTCATCCTATTTAATTCCATTTAGCTAACGGAACGTTGTTGGTTCTACCCAAGTAGCAATTCAAAGAGCCTGAATTAAATAATGATAATGCAAGGAGAGATGCCTCTGATGTATTCCTCCACCAGTGAAAGCTAGAAATTCCCTAAACAACAATAATAGTAATATCGTTTACAGACGAAAGAGTTCAATATGAAATTAAAAAAAATACTTAATTACTATATGATTTACTATCGTTTGATGACAAATGATAATGTTTACGGGGAAACGGTAAAGTTATACTTATCTGCATAATGAGCAAGGACATAACATTTATAAAGCGTTAATGTCCTAAGGTGGTGAAATACTTTAACTGAAAACTGAATGTATAAGCGAGGGTATTATTTCTTTATATAAAGTTTTATGATATTCTTTTTATTCCTCCGTTTCTTCTCCTTTGTAAAATATTTTGTTTAGTATTCTAAGACGGCTTATCAATATAATTAACTAATAAGTCGAACAAAGCAGAAACTATTCGGCTTTATACTTTAATGAAATGACAGAGAACTTATACTCTTCAGCATTAGCTGCTCAATAGTTAATTAATAATTCATTAATGAAAAAGAAGAAAATAATAGACAGTTAACAAATGCAGCCGAACAAGACATTTAACAGACACACATGTAGGGGCAAATAACGTTATAAGTCGTCATGCTAACAATAGGAACCTATGAACTACATGGTTTTTATCTTTTTCCGATAGATAATGCAAAGTGATTCCATACTAATATATAAAGTAATATAAACGACACAAAGAAATATTAGTATTCAATTTCTTTATTTCTAGATCATTATTCAATAAAGTTCAAATGGCTAACAAATAAATGTAAAAAATGAGTATATTTGAAATATGTGTACATGTACACTGTATATAGATTGCACATAAAATAGAAAATAAAACATGTATCTAAAATATCACACCCATTTTCAAATAAATTTATAAATAAATAAATAAATAAATTAAGTGTAAGGAAAATTTAAAAGTCATGGATTTCAACTTAAAAACACACAACACAGATATTAAACATCAGAGAAGATAAAAATTCAGTCACTCAAGTATGAACACAAGTGGTAAAAATGAAAAATGTTCATTGATATTTAGTAGTTATAATAATCACAAAGTTGAATATCACAATTGGAATTGATGTACCCTCTTATTACCAGAACTGTTGATCATCCTCCTCACTAACTTCTATTGAAAGTTTTTGTTCCTTTGGAGATCCTATGAACATGTCTAAAAAGGCCGAAATAACACGATTACTCTTACATCTACAACGGGAACCAATATTTACGCACATTTTCCCAATAGGACACCTTCGGTACCGACAGCAGTTCGCTTGTGGTCGGGTGGCAATTTCCGACACCATATGTAATGCTATAAGGCATATGAGTAGATAAGCTGCGTTTCTAGTTTGCATGGCAAGGAACTCTTCAAACTGAAAGAGAAAATAACATTTAAATTTATAAAAGTAAATCTCTTATCCGCATATAAATGGTTTATAGTTTAAATTAATAAATGTATTGTTTAACAATATAGAAATGAAAAGAATAAAGAAATAATTTTGACTTGTTTCAGACTTAAAATGATAAAATAAAGTTTTTACTTTCTTAAAATTAGAAATCTTAACGTTAAAATTACCTTGATATATTCAATTATATAAAGTTGTTAACTTTATTTTCTTTGCTGCGTTATTGTAGTTTTATAAAACTAATTTGAATTGAAAGACAAACTCGTCTACTTATATAGTTTTATTATATCCGGGAATGTAAATATAAACACACCACTTGACACATGAGGTTTATTACAACGCGGGATGATGTTTTTTCAGCCAATCACCGACAAGATCGTAAAGAAGAATGCGAGACGTCACACACTTGATTGATAGTTACGTTCCGCTTGAATACTGCGCCTTAATGGACAAAGTTTCGACAATACTTACTTCTTGCTAAAAATCACGTTAGATCATTTCGTCATTTTAAAATGTGGTAATTTCCACATGTATCTGTAAAGTAATAATATTTATAGCGCTATTCTTTGCAATTTAATGCTGACATGAAATCATATCAGCGTTTGTCAAAAATATTACTTTTTAATCTGACATATTTTGCCATACATTCGAAAGTTTGTTGCTTGACATCATTGCATTACATCGCATTATCATTTTACATACCAAATAGATCTAATTGATTTGTAATGGTTGATAATCAAGATAATATTGATCTTTCTTCTTTCCGTTTAGCCAATCCCCTGTGTGAATCCTAGATTTCTCTAGTAAGAAGAATATAAACAACGTTTAAAAAGATTAAAGTTTGAAACAGCTAAAAGCAAAGCAGACGTGTTTTTGGGTGTGACATGTTCAATATTAGCGCTTATATTGCATTGGCTCAGACGGGCTGACCACGTACAAGCGGGGAAGGTATTTCAATGATAAACTTATATGGGGATAATGATTATGTGTGGTAACTAGTAGTTGTTTGAATTTGTTTGAAAGCATGGGCATGAGAAGTTCTGGTTTTTAAGGACAAATAAGAAGAAAATAAATTGATATTTATCGATAGTAATACTTTTCCATTTGCCCTCTTGTCAAAAATTAAAATGTGCAAATATCATCATTTATTGTTAGTTTAATTATTTTCGAGGGAACTCAAGGTTTTTTATTCACAGCAACAGATGTTAAGTGATGTGTGGCAGTTGTAATATGTTTCGCAGTATTTTATTCAATGTGTGCGTTATGCGTTTCTGGAATCTTGCGGTCACTGATTTTAATATTTTCGGAGCTGTAACTAGAAATTCTGTTTTAGGCGTTTCTGTAGGGCGTCAATGATGTGACGCTGTTCAATTTCTCTCAGAATAAGACCCAATCAATCAAATAATGCAATTTTCACCCTTATACTTATGTTCCATAGGACAACGAATTCCTGATCTTCAGGACGATTTTACCCCGAGTAATACTACTGGAACACTAAGCCATTTCATAATACACTTCATAATCTTACATTTTATCTTTTCTAACCGTGATATACTTTCTATTGACTACTATACTTTGTGTAATTATGAAAGAGAAATGAGACATGTGCACGAAATAAATGAGTTTCTTATTTACGTGTTTTGAATATTGTTAATAAATATTTGATACTGAAAATAAAATCAGTGCATCCCAGTGAAGTTAAGCATTTACTTATTGCATACACACTCCATACCGGATTATAGTAATGAAATTGATGTTTTCTTTTTATTGTTTGAGGTTGGACCTACTTAAGGTCGTTAAGTAGCTCAGCAAATAAACAATTATGAATGCATTAGCTAATCCTTTCCTTGGCCATATCGTAATAATGATAATCATAATGATAATAAAATAAACGTAATCGCGAAGATAGTACCTTATGGCCACCAGATATTTTCCAAAATTGGCAGCAAATATATTACCATGGCTTAACCTACACAACACTATATAACATTTTCTTTTCTTGTGGTTGAAAAAAGTTAAGTTTCCATTTGGGACAGACTATTCTTTAAAATCGGCGTCTATATGAAAATGCTTAAAAAGATTGATGGCCGCGCAAATGATATTTGAAGATCTATATGGGCTTGCGGCCATTTGTTTTTCCAGTTAGGTGGTTTCCTGCTTACATTTGTGAGTGCATGATGGAACGGGAAACCAGTCTAGGTTTTCGCTGCAATCGTGACAATATCAGACGAAGTAATATTACGGAAATCTAAGCTGTTTTAGTTACTCCGGTAATCCCAGTTCGTTTCTATAAATAGGATTTCTATTTTTACTTGATTTATCGGTTTAAAGCGTAAGTAGAAGGATAAATTATAAACAAAAATACAGCGCATCTTGTGCTGTCGGTATCTGTGATCAATTGACAAGTGACATAGATATTTTAGGTGTAACATAGTTGATACATGCATATTAATTGGTACCACGTAACGAAGTCTTTTAGTGCATTTACTTGTCTATAAAGCTGCTATTTAAATGAAATTAGCAACTGCCAAAACGAATGACTCTTTCTGCGAAAAAAGTGGAAATGAAATGTGCACACTTGTTTCCCTTCAGTATGATAGATAGATACTTTTATTTCCTCCACGTGGGAGAGCCAATGTTAGTATTTTTACGATTGATTATTTTCTTTATTAGTTTTATACAATAGAGAATAGATTTCAAATCGTTTTTGACAAAAAATATTCGTTTTTACAAAAAAAAGTTGTTACTGTTATCGTCAGCATGTTCCGGTTCAGTTATAATCAGTGGACTTCTGGTCCTTCTTTTGTCCAAATTTGCATGCATAACACTGGTGGCACAAATGGGCACAGGTGCTCGTCCAGTCTTGGGGTTACCCTACCTACCCCTTTAAAAGTGAAACTTTTTTTTCGAAAAAAAAATCCTAAATAAACCCTTTATGATATACAAATAATTAAAAATATATAGTGATGATAAATTGACCATCTACACCTGTTAAAACATAGGTACCTTGTTTTTTTACTGGTATATAAGGTCAATTTATTATTATTTTTTTTATAATTATCTCTTTATCATAAAGAGTTGATTTAGAAGGTTTTTCAAAAAAAAAATTTTTAAAGGGATGGGATGATGTTTTTCCTTTTAAAAGGAAACTTTATTGTTTATTGAAGTTAAAGGATAGTTTGAATTTCATGTACTCTATTTCATTAAATATAAACAAACTTATGTAAAAAAAACAGTGCTACGTATCATATCGCAAATATCTTGCCATTACAAAATATCGAAACTTACTTCAGTCCATGGAATAAGGAATATCACAGTTAAAGTTACACACTACAATTAATTTATCGAACTTGACATATATAGGGGTCTTATTTATCAGGAATAATAATATTGCCGTTGTTGATGGTTTGTTTGTTCTTTATTATTTTCTCCCTCACTTCGTTCGTCCGAAAATAAATTATTTCTTTCCTAAACCATATAATCCAAACCAAGAAATAAGAAAACTCAGATAAGGTTCTATAGATTGGGGTTTACTAAAGCTCGTTATATGAACATTTTACAGCAAGGAACGCCTTAATCAGTTATATATATAAATACTTCTGTAATAGCAACAATGTTGATTATAATTATACTATAAACATACTTCATCTGATGAATTTGAAATCAATGGATCAATACTATGAAACGGGACTTTTTTTTAAATCCTGCCAAAAAAAAAATATACAAAACGAAAACAACCATTTAAAAAAATAATTATTCGGAAACACAGGTTAATCATATGCTGCGAGCCGGCTGCCCCAACCCCAACTCTTTTATTATTATTATTATTTAAATTTATTGTTTAAGAGGGGGGAGGTAGGGAGAATCCAAAATTTCTGGCCAGCGAACAGGCTCTCTCCGCCCCCTGCTTTGCGAATATTCTTTTTATATTAAAGAATTACATAACAATTGGACAAAACTTAAAAATAAATCAATTTGACAAATCCTCTCGATACAATTATTGATCAGTCACATTGTAAAATCCAGTCTTTGTCAACTAACTTGAAATGTTCATTTATAAAACATTTTATTAATATATATAACAGGTAATAACCATTTCCTCGTGAATATACATTTTATAAAATTAAAGAAATTCGGTGAACCGTCTGTACTGTGTAGTAAACCTCGAATGATTTAAAACCGCGAACAAACTCATGAAAATCTCGTGCCCCGTGCATTATTCTACCCAATATAAACCAAACACCAAAAAGATTAAAAAATACCAAAAAGAAAAGAGTATTCTTTTTTTGCAATAAAATGACTTCACAAAGTAATCTTTTAACAAAATGTATTTGAATTAGTTCTCGGTATATCCATTTTTTCTTGGGGGACCATATTCCGCTTTTTATTGAATGTCACAAAATGTCTTATTGAAAAGTCCATGGTCACGTTTACCGATATTTTCTAAATGTGTTAGTCATAATTAATACATGTAAGAATTATTAATATTGTCGTAGCCGATACTATGGGGTTGTATACGCAAATATTCATTAACTGCTGCCGTCACCGACTTGGTGGCTGGGTCCAACCGCGTCTGAAACCGTTCCGAAGTTGTTGTGTTTGATTAAGGATTTGTTGGGGTTTTTTCAGTACTTAATAAAAACGGAACAATACATGATTAAAACATTTTTACTTCTATAATACATATATACATGTAATATAAACACTAACAATATAAACAATCATACATGTGAAAGGATTGAGTGAAACTCTCTCCTGTTTCAATAACTTTACATACCATGGAAAATATCAACAACAAAAAATATTATTGCCATTCTTAGTTAATGTCATTTGAGCAAAACAATATCACATATAAGTGTTATAATAATAACGATCCACATCTAAAAAATGAATTGTGGTTATACAAATCACATATGTTTAGACTTGGGAGAACTAGGGATTGTGATCTTGTATTATCTAAATGAAACTGACGCTTCAAGTGTCCTTTATTTAAATTAGCCATATTATATTGTAAAATTACATCATTTGTCTCATTCGTTATATTGCTAATAAATGGTCCGTGGTCATGTCATAAATTTGAACGTCTATTTTTTTTAGTTTTGAATATGACTTTTTAATTGCTTAGATCACTGTGGAACAATTTTTTTTTATCTAACGTACGTAATTAGACATGAAAAAAAAATCATAAAATAAAAGTTTAAAATCTTATTTCTTTTAAACAACGTGACGTTCTTCAATAAACATTAACGGCCTGCAAAATTACAAATAAAAATAATTCTGCAAGTAAAAGGCAACAAAATTCAAAACAATATTGTAAATCAAAGAC